ATAACAAATTAAGCAAACAAGCAGAACAGGATCAGAATCATAGATAGGTAGATCATTTGGAAGGTTATCAGTTGGGAGGGGAAAGGGGGAAAATGAGGGGAAAGTTGCAGGGGTTATGAAGCACAAATTGGTAGGTACAGAATAAACAAGGAAATGTTAAAAACAGTATAGGTGATGGAATAACCAAAGAACTTAAACATGCGTGACCCATGGACATGAACTAAGGGGGGAATGCTGGGAGGAATGGGGGTACTAGGTGGAGGAGAACAAAACGGAAAAAAATGAGACAACTATACTAGCATAATCAATGAAATATATTTTTTAAAAAATCAAAAGGCACTATAGGGACAAAAAAAATATCTTTTCCTACTACCCTCCTAAGTTCTTCAGCTAGAGCCCTGTAAATCATACTGACAAAAGGCAGGTTAAAAAGAGAAAAGCATAAAATTTTATTTAATGTAAGTTTTACATTATATGGGAGCCTTTATAAGGAAATAAGGGCTAGAAGAAACAGTTGAACTTCATTGCTTTTAGACTATGTTTGACAACGAGTGGAAAGTCCTGGAAAAATGTTATAGGATAAAAGGGTATGAGCTAAAGGTAGTAAATGGGAGGGCATTTAGCAAGGCCTGCTCCTTGGAATTCCTCTAGGCATCCCCTTGACTCTGGACAAAGGATGCTCCTTTCCCCCAGGTATAGGAAAATATATTCTTATATACATGACGGTCTTATGACTTGCTTCAGAGAGTCTTTCAGCACCTGCTATTTTTATGAACTGCTTCAGGGGAAAGGGGAGCCAGCGAAAAGAGAGCTCTTCCTGCTCCTGCAGTTTCTCAAATTCCTTCAGCTTAAAATATTTGATATGCCAAGGTGCCATATTTCAGGGTAGCATGTTCTAAACCCTGTCAGTTTAACACTAAATTCTCATTATTTGCAGTAGTTATGTGCAAATAACTGTGAACTGGAGATTATTGAATACTGAACCATCACTTCTAGGAGATATATAGGGTTAGATTCCTGGGAGAATGTCACATTTTCCTCAACTGATAATACATAATCTTGTTGTACGTATGTTTCCATTTAAAGACATCTTATTTAATGTATTTTGTTGATTTATTAACATTGAACTCATAGCCAATAGTACTATGTCTGAACAAACCTTATTAACAAATGTATTTTCTCTGTAAGGCGTATCACAACTTTCATTTTTTCTTTTTTTTTTTTAATTACAGTTGACATTCAATATTACATTAGTTTCGGGTGTACAGAGTAGTGGTTAGACATTGATATAACTTAAGAAGTGTTCCCCCCAATAAGTTTAGTTCTCTCCCTGACGCCATACACAGTTATTGCAATATTATTGCAACAGTTATTGACTATATTCTCTGTTCTGTACTTTGCATCTCCGTGACTATTTTGTAACTGCCAATTACATTACAACTTTCTTACGTTTAGGAACATTAGAAAGCATTTCAGCACTATCCATTTTTGACAGCAAAATCACAAAAACACCCCCACAAAAATGCAAAAAATATGGTGCTAAATAGAACACAAATGGGACACTTGTTTAAAATGTGAGAGCATCATCTCAGCCTCAGCTAGGAACACATATGTAGGGAGACTCAAATTTTGTGCCACTCTACACATGTATGCAAATTACTGCAAAAACACTGTATTGAATTGATTATTAAATTGAGCGTTACCAATAAGTAAATAGGCAAATTCAAATTTATGAAGTCCGTGAATAATAGAGATTGACCATATATACAGAAACAATCTCTATCCTACTCCTTTTCCCTCTACACTCAGATCCCTCCTCCTTAGAAGTAATCACTATTGTTAGTTTCTTGAATATTTTCCTAGACTTTATTATACATATGTAGGCAACTTAAACATACATGTGTTATTTTTTATCATTAATTTTGAATATGCCATAGTGGCAAATAGATTATTTTGAACTAAAGACATTTGAAAATCAATATCAGCAGAAAGAAGCTTTTTCTCAGCTCTCCTTATTTTCCCAGAAGCCGTTTCTCCCAGAAGAATTCACTGTCATGAAGCACCCCTTATGGAGTTTCACCACAAGGAAAGACTGACTTTTATCACCAAAGATGAAAAGTCAGCACAAGTCAGCACCTGAATAGGAAAACACCTAAGCATTGTCATAAAACTATCATATATCCCATTTATTCTCCTAAGTACCTGTTTATTTTTCCTAAGTCATTTGTTCTCCCTTAAGTGCCCCTCTGCCGCTTGCTATCCCCTATTAAGATGGCACATAAACTCCAAATTCTAACCACATCCTTGAGTTATATTTCTTTCTGAACTCCTGTGCATATGTACACAATTAAATGTTTTTCCTCTGGTTAATCTGTGTGTTAGTTTAATTTGCAGATCCCCAGGTACTAAACCTAAGAGGATAAAGTTTTTCCTCTCCAACAATTTCAAAAAGCAAATGATAAATTGTATAAAAATTGATCCACAGTATACAGATATGTGCATCTCAGCAGTGCTTGTGTGACATAACTAAGAATTTCTCAATTTCTAACAACCAAAAATGTTATGCTCTCTACAATACCCAGTAGCTATTAAATAATTCAGGGACACATACAAAATGGTACTATCATTAACACAATGCATAAATGAAGGTTGTTTGTTTTATGTTTTTTTAAATGGTTATTGTTACAAATTCTTTTTTTAAATTTACTTATTTTTAGAGAGAGGGAAAGGGAGGAAGAGAAACATCAATGTGTGGTTGCTTATCATGCACCCCCTACCGGGGTGGAGGGACCTGGCCTGCAACCCAGGCATGTGCCCTGACTGGGAATCAAACCAGGGACCCTTTGGTTTGCAGGCCCACAGTCAACCCACTGAGCTACACCAGCCAGGGCCGTTTTATGTTTTGTTTTGATTTTTTATCTGTAAAGCTTAATATCCCGTTCTATTAACCAATGTTTTTAAAATCAGTCATATTTTTGAATCAATGATAATTTTAGGTGTGTTTTTAGTATTTACCTTCAGGTTTCTAATATATTTGTATTGCTTCTTTTTGACTTATCAATTTTAAATTTTATCTGTGTACTACTATTATGGTAGTTGATGTTTAAGATCTCTTTCACTAGCACCACCCTTTTCTCCACTCTCATCCTCAACATATAGTCAGTGATATAGTTGGTTAACCCAATAGCTAGTGATTGCATTGAAGGAGTTCAGAACACACCACCCAAAAATATACTGCCCTGGCATTTTGACTATTTTGAGCTAAAGGGTGTTGCAAGAAGGACATTCTGATTCCCTTCTTTAAAAAAAAAAAAAAAGCAGATGAAATCTTCATGTGAAAGATGTCCTCCCTATACCAAAAAGAAAGAGACATTCTTATCACCAAGGACGTGAAGTCAAAGCCCAGATAAATCTGTACAAATTGTTTAATTTTTATCTTACTATTCACTTCTGTATTTTTTAGCAACCCCATCAAAGCCCTTTTGCCTAGTTACATTTTCACAATTTACTACTCTTTGTCCAATTCAGAGTGCAAGCATTCAACTCTGCTTCTTTGGATCTTCATTTTTCTTGTAAAGACTCCTAAATACATGCAAATTGAATTTGTATTATATATATTTACATACATACACATATACTTAATAAATATATATTTAACATACACATATATACTTAATATATATTAAATAAATGCACATATTATATACATATTATATATAATATATATACACACATACATATATATATGAACTTATATGCATTTCTTCTGTTATTCTGTCTCTGTCAGTTTAAATTGCAGCCAAAGACCCTAAAAAGAGGAGAAATTATTCCTCCTCTACAGCATTATTCTGATTCTATGATTCACAAACGGGCTATTTACTTTTTCATATTTTTTTCAGTTATTAATGATTCAAAATGAATTTACCATGAAGCACCATACCATAAACATAATATGCGGTTCCCCTTCCACCAACACTTAAATTGGCTGTGATTGGGGCAAACCAATTTTACTTGAATCGGTTTTCTCATCTCTAACACAGGAGTAATATTTGTGTCTTCCTAACAAGATGCTTGCAAGAAACAGGGTAAGAGTAAGACAGAAGAATATGATAGTGAATATGAAAGTCCTTTATAAACTTTAAGTGTAATTGAGCACGGGCTGCAAACCAAAGTGTCACAAGTTCGATTCCCAGTCAGGGTACATGCCTGGGTTGCAGGTCATGACCCCCAGAAACCACACACTGATGTTTCTCTCCCTCTCTCTTTCTCCCTCCCTTTCCTCTCTGAAAATAAATAAAATCTTTAAAAAAAAAAGAAATCACCAAATTCTTTAAAAAGAATAGGTATCAAATAAAATGTCTAAAATAAAACTTTAAGTGTAAAAGAAATATAAAGCAAAATAATTAGTAGGCCAGGGGATTTTCACTATTTTTGACTCTGAAAACAGGGTTCTAGTCTTCATTCCTCTCCTAATTGACTCTGGAGGTATTTTTTTCCACATATGGGGTGTCTTTCCTAACTGGTAATATAGATATATTAAAGCTTATGAATAAGTACAATATGTTTGCACTTACACAATTTATTTGGATATATAACAGTCTGTAAACTAAGAATCTTGCACTGCTAGACTATCTCCAATTACCTATCAGCTCTGATTTTATTATTTTGTTTCTAAATGAGACATTAATTACATTCACAGCTCTCTGCTATACCCATAGATACAGCACAGTATAAATATTTAGGTAGGAGACTGCTAGAGCAACTGGTTTCCTGAAGACACATTAGACTGTAAGGTGGTAATGCACTATGTGATAGATCCAGTAACAAAATCAAAATCCAGTAACAAAAAATCACAATCTGAAATTAATACGGTTAATTAAATGCCGGTTGAGAACACTTTGGTCACTGCAGGAAATCTATGCATATCAGCGAAGTTTTGCACATGCAATTACTTAACCATTCCCTGAGGCAGCCAGTGTCATTTCTAGCAGATACTCAGCTCCATATTCTTGGGGTTCCCAGCATGCCTTTCGCTGCTCTTGGCGGGAAAGCTGACCTCGACCAGGGGTCAACAGGCTATTGTCGCGCTGCCCCAGGCAACCGTTGAAGGAAGGCGCATGCGCATCGCGCAAAAAACGCGGGCTTCGTGGTGTAGGTCTCGGTGGCTGGTGCCCGGCGTGGGACGTTTTGTAATGTATATGTTTGTATCTTTTTTTTTCTTAATTTTATTGCTAATATTATTTGCTTTTAAATCTTTCTCTGTCACCTTCTGCCTACTCTTAGATCCTTAATGGAAAAACATGCGGGGAAAAATGTATACCTAGTTAGAAGTTTTTGAAGTAAATTAACTCCGGCATCTCGTCCAGGCTTCGTCAGGATACTTTTAAATGTTTATGCAGTAATAAGACTCTTCTATGAACACTGATAGTTGAATTGTCTGATTAAGAAAAATGAAATTGACACCTAAAAATGGAAACATCAAAATAACAAAGTTATAACTGAGAAAAAAAAGTCATCAAAAAACTATCTAGAATATTTTTGGTTTCCTTTCATGGTTGTTCCATAGAGTAAGATAATATGTCATATTCAGAGCCATGCTAAAGTTTAGTGAGGAAAGTTATCTCATTCTGTTATTTAGAAATGGCAAATTTAAAACAAAAATTAAAAGATTACTTTAAAGGGCTTGTTTGGCAGGGGCAGTTTTTCATTACCTACTACCTACCTGTAAAATCTTGACGATATTTGAATAATGTGAAGTGAAGAAAAATAAAAGATTGTGCTTTTTAAAAAAGGGTCTTTTAAAAAGCTTTTAAATAACTTATGTGAGACTTGCTGGTCAAATGGCTTAAAAGTAACACCTCGGGAGAGTTGCAAAATGAATGTTTTTGAAGATTTCATTTTAATTAAAGGAATCCTCACTTGGTCACATTTAATTCTTTCTGCTTCTACATGTAATAAACTGGAATATTAGGGATAAAAACAAGGTCTGAAGTTAAAGCTCGCATCTGTATCACAAGGTTGCCTTAAAGGAAATTCTTCATCAGAAGATGGCCACTGCCCAGTTGCAGAGAACTTCCATGGTATGATGTCTTGTATTTTAACATATTTTAATTTAGCTAATCTTACTGTTTCTTGAACTCTCAACTATTTTTATAATCGAAAGTTAGCTTCACTATTTGAGGGTTTAGTGATGTCAGGAAATGCCACATTTTAAGAAATAAAAGTTTTTGCTAAACTTTTTTTAATTAATGGAGAATCTATTGCATGTTTGATGAGTTGCCTACAGTGGCTGCTTTAAGTTCAGTTTACAGTCAGTCAGTTAACCAGAAGGGGATTTTCAACACTATTTTAGCACTTTTTACGTTACCTTTAGGCTGCTACCCTAAAAACACACATCTTGGAAGCCACACTGACTTCCTGGGGATTATTAACCACTGTGGTTAGGAATTCTTGGGGAGAGTATCATGCTTTTGCAAAATTAGGTCTATTACAAGTTTAGGAAGACTTTATTTTTAATAAATCTAAGTGTTTAAATTTCCCTTGAATTTAGAGCGAGATGGGATTTCCCAATAAGATATCAACTGAGCAGCAGTCTTTGCTGCTAGTGAAGAGGCTCCTAGCAATTTCAGTATCCTGCATCACGTATTTGAGAGGAATATTTCCAGAATGTGCTTATGGAACAAGATATTTTGATGGTAATATAATGTTTATTTTAAAACTTTCTTTAAAGAGCCCTGACTTGTGTGGCTCAGTAGTCACCAGTGAAAGGTCATCAGTTCGATTCCTGGGCCGGGCACATGCCTGGGTTGCAGGTTCAGTCCCCAGTTGGGTGTTCCAGAGGCAACTGATCAATGTTTATTTCCCTCTCTTTCTCCTGTTCTTCCTTTCTCTCTAAAAATAAATAAATAAAATCTTTTAAAAAATAAAGTGATACTTTCTTTGAACATGTTACTTTATTTTGGTTTGCTTAAAACTATAAATTTTGAATTGGAGATTTTGTTTATTTAATAAGAGCTTTATTAAATTAAGTTGAGATATAATGCATATGCCTGACAATTTACCCATTTAAATTGCACAACTCAGTGATTTTTAGAAATTCATAGAGGAATGCAACTATCACCACTGTCAATTTTAGAGTATTTTCATCACTCCAAAAGAAACTCCATATCCATTAAGTCACTCTCACTTCCCTCAACCTCTCCAGTCCTAAAATCCTGCCAGTCTGCTTTCTGTCTCTATGGATTTTTCTATTGCGGACATTTCATGTAAATGCAGTCATACAACATGTGGCCCTTTGTGCCTGGCTTATTTCACTTAGTATAATGTTTCCAAGGTTCATCCATGTTGTAGCATGAATTAGTACTTTATTGTTTTAATTGCTGAATGATATTCCATTATATAGGCATACCAGTTTATCCATTTATCAGTTGATGATCATTTGAGTTGTTTCTATTTTTTTAGTTATTATAAATAATGTCACATTTGTGTATAAGTTTTTGTGTGGACAACTAAGTGGTTTTTATAAAATATATTAAGTATATATTAGTACTTTTAAAAGCATTTAAACATAATTTTTCCCTCAGTTTCTCAAGTATAATTTCACCTAATGTTAGAGGAACTCTTACAATGATGAAGTAAATAGATAAAAATGTTATATGGTTTAAAGCTTTGTACAGTGGTGGTGTATGTTCTTGTGTAAAAATAATACAGACAGTTCATACTACAGTAATAATTTTATTGCCCAGCACATAATACATATGTAATATTGTGCCTCATGTTATGTACCAACTGTGTGCTGGGTGATAAAGAAAGCACTATGTTATGTATGATATGTTATAATTCACCTTATAGAACTATGAGTTAGATGTTATTCCTGTTTTTCAGATACAGATCCTGAGACTGAGAGATCTCAGTCCTTTTCACTGTATTACATGTTGTTTTTTGCAGGGTTTTAATCAGTTAATTTTTTGGTCTTTTACAATTTTACTGAAATAAGGACCCATTGCAAATATTCTAAGACTCTTGGATAACAATGACATAAAAGCGTTACGTCTATAGATTTAAAAAATTATTTTCTACCTATCAACAAGTACTCTAATCATTATGATGCCATTTTACAATAAAGATAAAAAGATTATTTGTTTTCATATAACCTTTCTTTAATTATATTATTACTAATCATCTGGAAATGCATTGACATTAATAATATGCCAATAATACACAGCTGACAAACATAATCTTCATTTTAAATTTCTAGCTGTTTACTAATCTTTTTTTAAAAGATTTTATTTATTCATTTTTAGAGAGGGAGGAAGAGAAGGAGAGAAATATCAATGTGTGATTGCCTCTCATGCACCCCGTACTGGGGACCTGGCCTGCAACCCCGACATGTGCCCTGACTGGGAATTGAACTGGCGACCCTTTGGTTTGCAGCCCATACTCAGTCCACTGAGCTACACCAGCCAGGGTACTAATCTTAAGTAGCTCTATATTTATGTTGTAATTTTTGTGTTTAGATCTTTGTGTCAAAATTCTGAGAGAAGATAAAAATTGTCCAGGATCTACACAGTTAGTGAAGTGGTAAGTAAAAGAATATCTAACAACAGAATATTATTTATTTTATTAAATCACATTATTTTCAGTGATACCTTTCAGTGTTTAACTCAATTTTAGTGATTCCCCTCCTTTAGCTCTGGATACAATTTTTGCAGGGAATTAGAATTTTGCATTAAAATTTTCCTTTATTTTATGCTCCCTAAGAGTGGACTTCATTTTCCTGTTTCCCACAAATACTAGCTGTCAAATATTTCATATCTTCCTTTCCATCCATATCAACATTTTATATTTCTGCCATATTGTTTTATTTTATTATTTTAAACTAGTTAGTGAGAAGGGATCTTTAATAAGAAAATTTTATATCATTTAGTCATGTAATGATATGGAGATTTGTTAAAAGAACTGTTTTCTGGAAATGCAATTTAATCTAAAAGTGAATCCTTGCTTATTTTTTAGGATGCTAGGATGCTATGATGCTTTGCAGAAAAAATATGTAAGTCAGTGTCTCTGTGTCCTTTTTTCCCACAATTTATTTCACAGATGCAACATCAATTACCATGTAGTAAAACATTACTTTAAACTAACTTGGGCATTGGTCAGTCCAAATTACTAAAAAGTCTGAACATTTGAATATTTTAAAGACTAATATTTAACTCATTTAAAGCTGATAGAATTAATACTTAAGATTTTGCCAAGACAGTTTGGTTCAATCGTAAATACTCGCTTGTATTAATAATACATCTTAATTTACAAAAACTTAATGAATTAAAAGCCTTTAAATTTTTTATTCATTAGTTTCACATGGCTTCTATAATTTTATTTATACTAGTAATAAAGTATTTCTTCATGAGCATTCAGAAATAAATTTTCATGTAGTCTAAATTATATAGTCACAAATTCTGAATTAGTGAAATTTCAATTAATAAGGTTTTACTGTAGACCGTGAGCATTTTTGAATACTTAGCATATGTTTATATTGACACATATAAAGAAGTTAAATAAAGTTGTAAAGAAGACAAAATTTTATCCATAGTCATTAACCTCCCTCATTAAGACCTTAAATATTTAATGTTTATTAAATATTGAGTGCCTGCTATGTGCTAGGCACATATTCTAGGTAAGAGCTGGGTAAGCTAATAGTGCTGAGTATGATAGAGTTCATTCTATAGGGGGAAAACAGTCAATAAAACAAGCAAGTCAGATAATTTCCAATAATGTTAAATGCCCAAAAATGTTTAGAAAAGTTATGTGGCAGTGGAAAGATGGGGTAACTTTAGATGGGGTGGTCAGAGGAGCTATTTTGGGGAGGTGACATTTAACCTGAGACTTGAATGAGAATAAACCTGGCAGGCACTGATTTGGGGGAGAGAGTATTCCTAGGAGAGTGACAGATGTGGAGTTGGAAGGGAGTTGGGAGAGTTCACAGAACGAAAAGGCCAGTATGATTGGAGTGTAATGAACAGTGGGGTAGAGTGGCATGAGATAAGCCTGGTGAGATAGGCTGGGCCAGAGCATTCATGCTGTGTAGGTAAGAAGTTTGTATTTTCCTTAGGTGCAAATAAAAGTCATTTGAAAGTTTTGAGTAGAAATCGAACATTATTTGATTTATATATTAAAAATTACTTTGGCTGCTAAATAGAGAATATATTGTAGAAGAATAGATAGGAATTAAGGAGAATAGTACTTTATTACTAAAGTACTGATTAAAAGAAGAAAAGAAAGAGAGGGAGGGAGGGAAGGGAAGGAAGGGAAGGAAAGGGAAGTAAAAACAGCAATTTTTTCCCATGTTAAAACAATGAGCCAAGGGAGTTGAAGGGAGGAGAGATCATCTTGAGTTGGACTAATCTGGGGAGGAAAACAAGCAAATAAAACAAGATGGCCTTTAAGAATGGATAGGGTTTTTTAAAAAATGAGTGGGTAGGATTAAGAGATGTGGAGAGAAGAGAATACAGTCTGGATGAGGAAACCTGAGTAAGCAAAGGTATCATGAACTTGATGAGTTTGGGAGATAACTGAGCAACCAGAATGACTGTGAATAGTTTGTGTTCTTGGAGAACAATGAGGATCAAATCAGCATATTAGATCAGAGTATGGAAGATTTTGAGTGCCAGGAAGATACATTTAGACTTTTTCCTTGAAGTAAAAGAGATTCAGCCGAATAAAACCAGCAAAGCTCATTTCATATTTGTGTCCAAATTAAAGACTGAGTGATAGTTTTGCTCCATTGCATTTCTGAATATACATGATATGCATATTATTTCTTGCTTACATGGTTTGAGTTTGAGACATGTCAAAGAAAAAGCCTAAAATGTTAAACTTTTGTATCCCAAAGTCCCAAAGTTAAATGAACTTTTGCTGAATATTCCCATAAGAGTCTCTGTTTAGAACCCAATGCTATAATTTTAAAATATTATATGTTTCAAAAGCAAGTAAGTAGAAGGTAATACCAAGAGATTAATATTTGTAGGCCTAGAAAGGAATGAGAGTAAGACATATGGTCAGATTGCTTGTTGAGTATTACTGTCATCCCTTTCTTAAGATTCTTCTGAGGAGTAGCTACCACAGACTGGTTTTAAACTATTAAGCTTCATTGTCTTGTAAAAATAATCAAGAAGTTTAAATATATGTTGAATCTAACCTTTCAAGTACACTTAAAATTAGATGTTATCTCAGTTTAATAACATTGACCTCAACCAAGAGAAATTAAATTTGAGCTCCAGTCTGACCTAAACAAAATAGATTTATTTCCTGTTGAAATCAAGATCCTGTTTGTCATTATTGCCTCTGGTAGGAATTGTGCTATATATAGATAGCATTGGCTCGTGGACAATTAATGCTTTAATTAAATTGCTAGTATATTTAAAATTTCCCCCCCTTATGATGGTCTTTATTATTAAATTACTTGTAAGAGGAGCGAGGCTGTTAATGCTTTTGACTTGATGGTAATCTTTTGAGTTTATAGATAGTGTTTTTAAACACTCTTTCCTTTCTTGAAAAGCTTTCTCAAAGAGCCATCCCCACCCCTCGCCCCCCAGCCTCCCAACCCTCCTGCCACAGATAAGAATAAGTCTACCAAGACCTGATCTCTTGGGGAGGAAAGCTGGCCAGTCTCTCAGGGGAGAAGGGCCTTGAGCCTGTTCCTCAATGGGCTTTCATTGGGTTTAATTTGCATAGGAACACAAGGCTTATACATAGGAATACAGGGCTTATATTTAGGCATACAGGGCTTATGCCTGACTAGATCATCAATCACTGTCAGGCAATAGTGATCAAAGGACAGATAACATTCAGAGAACTGTGAGGACTTATTCTGAGTCAGGGTCAGATACCAAAGGGCCATAAATCTGGAAAACAAACTCATTTTATGCTTGCACCCTTATCATTTAAACTGAAGGCATTCTTAACAAAGAAGTTTTCACAGGATTTTATGCATCTTTCTTAGACCTGATTGCTTAGGAAACCACCTGTTCCAGCACAGGGCCACACCTGCCTCCAGCATTGTTTGAGGCTTAAGTCAGGTGGGGGAAGTAAGGCAGCCAAGAGATCAGGGGACTTCTTACAGATAGAATGAGGAGTCAGGCTATGACAGAGCTGAGGGGTGAGGGTCCATCACCCCTTTTCTATAGTCCCCTAAGTCCTTCCCTGATGGCCCCTTGGCAACCATGCCTGTCTTAGGTTGCCCCTCCCTTGAGGAATCTTACCCATCTTTGGCTAACCAGTCATCCACCCAGGGCCAAGCAGGGTGAGGTAAAGGGGGCAGAGGCTGCTCCCCTGCCAGGAGGATAAGCTTTGTCTCCTTAGTGGCTTATGGTCCTGCAGTCTTTTTACTCAGCCTTAGCCCGGGGGTTACTGCTTCAGAAACCAGGCAGGGCAGTTCCCAACATTTTGGCAAATCTGGAAGGGAAGGGAAAAACTGGTGGCTTAGACCAGGATAGAAGAAGAGGAGAAAAAAAAGATTCAGGATATATTTGACAAGTAGAACTGATTGGACTTGGTGGTGGATTGATTCTGGTGTATAAGAAAAGATCCAAATTAAGTATGACTTACATTTGAGCAGGTTACTTGAGTGAATGATTTCCTGTGATTTTGTTTTTATGGTCTCTGAAGCCTCTTCCCTTTATTAAATGAGAAGGCTCTGAACTCTGTACTTTTTCTCCTTTCAAAATCAGTTTTCATATTGGGAAGGTTTAATGTGTTCTTTCACAATATATATTTTCCTTGTAACTGGTGGTAATGCCCCTGTTTGCTTAAGCAGATAACATGAATTTCATCCTTCACTAAGTCAACTAGAAATAGATATTTTGGGAAATAGACAAGGCTATCTAAGGTATATATTACTTTATATGCATTATATAAAGTCTATTTTCTGAAAGATTATTTATTATTAGGAATAAATGTTAAACCAGGACAGAATTCTTACGATTCATCATGAAAAAGTATTTTATACAATAAAAATAAAATTTTTGTTCTTTGTTGTATTTCAGCTAAGGATGGTTGTTCTAGCTGTAAGTATTTATTTTTAAATTGTATGTTTTTTAAAGACAGTAAAATTAGGCCTTGCATAATTAAAAAATACTAAAATCATCAATTAATTAAGTCACTTTATTCAAATAACTGATCTATACAGTGGAAAAAAGTAACAAATTAATAATTGTGGGGAGGGGTTTTATATTTTATTTTGCTGATTTCATATAATAGTTTAGTCTAAACAACTAATTTACTTCTCCTTGAACACTTAGCCTTGTATGGCTCAGTTGTAAATTATTTTCAAATAGGTATACACCAACCCAGAAGACCCACAGGTAAGTGTGTTTAAGTTAGTAAAGAAACATAATGCCTTGCCCTGACCTGTGTGGCTCAGGTGGTTGGACATCGTCCTACAAAGCAAAAGATTGCTTGGTGTGAAAAGCAACTGATTGATGTTCCTCTCTTACATTGGTGTTTCTCTCCCTTTTTTTCTTTCTTTTTTTTAATATATTTTATTGATTATGCTGTTACAGTTGTCCCACTTTCCCCCCTTTATTCCCCTCTGCCCTGCACACCCCCACCCATCCACATCCCCCACCTCCACTTTAGTTCATGTCCATGGGTCGTACATGTAAGTTCTTGGCTTCTACATTTTCTATACTATTCTTAACCTCCCCCTGTCTGTTTTCTACCTACCATTTATGCTACTAATTCCCTGTACCTTTCCTCCCATTCCCCATTCCCTTTCCCCACTGAAACACTCCATGTGATCTCCATTTCTGTGATTCTGTTCCTGTTCTAATTGTTTGCTTACTTTTTGTTTTGTTTTGTTTTGTTTTAGGTTCAATTGTTGATAGTTGTGTTTGTTGTCATTTTACTGTTCACATTTTTTATCTTCTTTTTCTTAGATAATTCCCTTTAACATTTCATAAAATAAGGGCTGGGTGATGATGAACTCCTTTAACTTGACCTTATCTGGGAAGCACTTTATCTGCCCTTCCATTCTAAATGAAAGCTTTGCTGGATAGAGTTATCTTGGATATAGGTCCTTGCCTTTCATGACTTCAAATACTTCTTTCCAGCCCCTTCTTGCCTGTAAGGTTTCTTTTGGGAAATCAGATGACAGTCTTATGGGAACAAGATCCCATAAGATTTATGGGAAGTCTTGTAGATAACTATCTCTTTTTCTCTTGCTGCTTTTAGGATTCTCTCCTTATCTTTAATCTTGGGTAACTTAATTATGATGTGCCTTGGAGTGTGCTTCTTTGGGTCTACCTTCTTTGGGACTGTCTGAGCTTCCTGGACTTCCTGGAAGTCTATTTCCTTTGCCAGATTGGGGAAGTTCTCCTTCATTGTTTGTTCAAATAAGTTTTCAACTTCTTGCTCTTGTTCTTCTCCTTCTGGCACCCGTATGATTCAGATGTTGGAACGTTTAAGCTTCTCCCAGAGGTTCCTAGGCCTCTCCTCATTTTTTTGAATTCTTGTTTCTTCATTCTGTTCTGGTTGAATGTTTATTTCTTCCTTCTGCTCCAAATCATTGATCTGAGTCCCAGCTTCCTCCCTGTCACTGCTGGTTCCCTATACATTTTCTTTTGTTTCCCTTTGCATAGCCTTCACTTTTTCCTCTATTTTGCCACCATACATTACCATTTCTGTGAGCATCCTGATTACCAGTGTTTCAAATTCTGCATCTGATAGGTTGGCTGTCTCTTCATTGCTTAGTTGTATTTTTCTGGGGCTTTGATCTGTTCTTTCATTTGGGCCATATTTTTTTGTCTTGGTGTGCCTGTTACGTAGTAAGGTGGTGATCCTTGGGTATTCAGCAGGGTGGGGCAACCCACATTGCTGCGTTGTTGCGCTGTTTGTGGGGGAAGGGTCTAAGAGGGAATAATGCTACTTGTTCAGCTCTCTGCGGGCTTTCAGTCACCTCCCATGCTACCCACAAGCAAGTTGATGTTGATTCCTGTGTAGGTTCTAGGACTCTGCGGGTTTCTCCAATGACTCTCCAGTGAGGCTGGGAGTTTGTCTTGCCACCTCAACCTCCACAGGTTTTTACAGCTAGAGGGTTTGCAGCTTTATTTCTCCACACTGGAACTCTGGGTTTCTAGGTCTGTCTCACTCCCCAGTTGTTCCTCTCAGTTTGTCTGTACGTGGATGTTGGACTGCTGGGTCTCCCAGCTACCACCTCACCGGGTCCACCAACCACCGCCTTGCTATGAGTTCTCTCCACCCAGCTGCCCATCTCCGCCCCTCATATCAGTCTGAATGAATGTTTCTTCTTTAACTCCCTGTTGTCAGACTTACTACAGTTTGATTTTCTGTCAGTTCTGGTTGTTTATTGTTTTTAAATTTGTTGTCCTTCTTTTGGTTGTTTGAGGAGGCACAGTGTATCTACCGACACCTCCATCTTGGCCAGAAGTCTCCCTCCTTTTCTTTTGCCCTCCCTTCCCCTCTCTCTAAAAATAAATAAAATCTTTTAAGAAAAGAAACAATGCCTCTAATATCTAAAAATAACAAATTATAATATATCTTATGCTTACAGTTGTGTTTTAATCAATGAACTTTCATATATATTTTCACATTTAAACCTCATAAAATTTTTTTTGTGATAAGACAGGGTTTGTATTTTTATCTTTAAACCAATTTATACACTTACTGCAAGAGAGATTATATGACTGATCCTAGGATAAAAAGCCACAGGCTATTAGAAATAACTTAAATCTCCTGACTTCTGGTTCTTTACAATATTTCTTTTATGGAATTATGACAGGGGTTGAGTTTGAGAAAAATAAGAAACTCCTTAAACTTTGAATATTCATCCCAGTGCAGTCACATCCACCAGTTCATCTCACAACTCAAGTAGGGATTACAAGAAATGAAAATAAAAACCAGAAGAAGCTAAGGGGAAATGGAATTTATTGAGTGCTTACTGGTATTAGGTTCTGTTCCTTGGGGCTTTCTGTGTTACCTCAAAACCTCTCATCACAACTCTTGAGAGGTAGCTGCCATTATCATCTCTTCTTTATAGATAAGGAAACCTAGATACAAGGTTTTTTGCTTGTGTTCACAATAGCACAACCAGAATTTGGAGCTAAGAAGTCCAGTTCATGATCTGGGTGCATAACCATTACAGTATAGCTTTATAATACAGTGTTTTACTCAGTTATGGAGAAGCAGATTTTTAAAAAAGAACTAATCCCATCCCTGTGAAGCACTAAAATGTAAAGAACATAATAAAAGTATTAGAGCTTTAAGAGGGCTGAGAATGTTTCTTTACTTTGATACTCATGCCTTAATATATGTCCATGTGACAAATCATATGGGCAAAAGCTATGAATTAGTTGATTGCTCAGAAACTATTCAGAAAAGTGTTCATTTATTATAGATGTTTTATAGTTGTACATTTTTTCTTTCAATGAAAGAGAAACTTGCTGATGAAATAATATTTATTAAATGCTTGATGTGCTAGGCACTTCGTTAAGGGCTTTGTATAAATTATCCCATTTAATAAATATTCACAACCACCAATGACATAGGTACTATTTTCAACCCCTTTTACTAGCTGGGGAAACAGACTTAGAAAGCCTGAATTACTTGCTTATGATTACAGTATACCAAGGATTGAAACTCTGTGCTTTGTCATTCTGCTAAATTAAGAGATAAGCTGCTTCCCTTACCTGCCTGCTAGGGGTTCCTTCTCTCTGATGTCTTTAACATACATTACAATGAGTAGAAGAATAAATTTCTCTCCAAGATTGAAGCCCCAAATCCCTAACCATGGGAATGAACTATTGGGACTTTAAAATTTCAGCGAACCAATAAGGACTAATATGGCCTTATAAAGAAAAATTATTAGGTAAATATTGAGAGTCATACAAAAGCAGTACATAGCTACTTAGCTGCCAGTACTGCATACTGTATATGTAACTGCAGTGTTTTCTATTTAAGACAATTTCAGAATGTTACCAATTTAAATTCAAGTACACTGGGGATGGACCTATCATGGACTTCATAAGGTATTGTTCTATAGTTTTCTTTTTGTATAACAGATTACGATTTATTCATACTAATACTATATAGCTAAATTTCAGAATTAATTTTGAAAATTTTCAGACATCCCCCATTAACCATCAAGGTATGGCTATACCAAATATTCTTGAAGTAACTTCAAGCCAGGACTCTGTGGCTAATTATATGCTATGTTAATAGTGAAACAGAGCCAAAGAGTAGGAAAGCTGTTGTATGCTTGAGTGATTATAAATATAATTAAAATCCATTTGTTTCCTTTAAACATCTTATATAAAATGCATAAATTAAGTTATAATAGTGACATTTTATGGTACCTTACAACTTAACACCTTAATGCTGTAATAGAAGTAAGAATCTCAACAAAATATGAAATATGTCATTAGAAGCTACAGGTGTCATAAAATAATATGTGATTCTCTTCTAGTAGAAACCAAACCACTGAATCTAGTATTTCATCTGCTGACACCAAGAAAGCAAGTATTCTCCTCATTCGCAAGATTTATGTTCTAATGCAAAATCTGGAACCTTTACCTAATGATGTTTGTTTGACCATGAAACTTTTTTACTATGATGAAGGTACTATTTGCAATACATCCTGTTTCAGTTGCTATCTGTATGTTTTACTATTATTGAAACTACTGGTTTTCATCCCAAGTGTTTTTAAGGGCATAACTTACTATATATTTTTTTGAAATTACAAAGCTTACATTTAATATTAATATTTGAAAAAGAAAGATTTGAAAAAATAGGTTTTAATAATATACACAAAACACCTTGGAAGGGTAGATCAGTTGGTTGGAGCATCATCCTGTGCACCAGAAAGTCGTGGATTTGATTTCTGGACGGGGGCACCTACCTAGGTTGTAGGTTCGGTCCCCAGCTGGGGACAGATATGGGAGTCAACAGCCAGTCAATGTTTTTCTCTCTGTCTCTCTCTCTCTTCTGCCCCCCTCTAAAATCAATAAAAACAAATCCTCAGGTGAGGATTAAAAATAGTAATATGAAAATAAAATATACACAAACTACTCCAGTGATGATAACATGAGGAAGGGGACCTAAAAAACAGAATTATCTTCTGGAGAGTAGACCCCTTGTAGTACAGGCTTATCCCACTAGGTGAGTGTTTTAGGAATCCATCTGTATCAGTGTACCAGCTGCTGGTGTGAGAGGCCGTGTTCAGCTTCAGTGAATTTTTTTAAGACTCTTCCAAAGTGTTTGCCCATTTCATGGTGGGCAAGCACATATGCACACATGGCACTAAGTGTTCAGCAGTTTTCAACCAAAAACAACATGACCCCCATGTCCCACACTCCCTATTCACCCCATCTTGCCCAGAGCAACTCTTTTTCATTTCCCCAAATGAAAAAAGTCCTCAAAGGGAAACGTTTTGCTGATGTGGAGGAGGTAAAACAAACAAACAAAAAATGGCAGAGGCACTAAAAGGCATCAAAATTGACAACTTCAAAAACTATTTTGAGAAGTGGAAAAAAGTCTCAATAGGTGTATTGCATCAAAAGGAGAGTGCTTTGAAGGTGATTGAAGTTTAAACATGCAAGAATAAATACACAATTTTCCAGGGGTTTTTTGGAGGGGAGCCTTCATATCTATGAGAGGTACAGTCTTACTCATAATTAAAGAAAAATGGTGAAATACCATTTTTCACTTACCAGGGTATGGGGGGAAGCAGGCATTTTTATACACTCTTGAGAAAGTATGTATAGGTATAACATTTTTAGATGACAACTTGGTAGTATTAGAATTTTAAATGCATATTGTCTTTAATCCAGAAATAATAGCTACAAGAGTATCTTGGGAATATATAAGCTTATTGCACACAAGAATATACAAATATGCAAGTTTACATGTATATAAGGATTTTTATTATAGCATTGGTTAAAATAGGAACAAAATGGAAACAACCTTGAGTGTCCTTCATTGGAGGATTAAGTAAATAAATTAAATAAATAAATTATGGTGCATCTATATAGTAGGATTCTGTGCAAGCTATTAAAAAGAATGTGCTGGTAAATTTTTACTCGGCCATAAAAAAGAAGAAGGTTTTACCCTTTGTGACAGTATGGATGGATTTGGAGAAAATTATGCTAAGTGAAATAAGCCAGTCAGAGAAAGACGAATAGCATGTGATTTCACCCATGTGTGGAATCTATTGAATAAACTGAACTAACAAGCAAAATAGAGACAGACTCATAGACAACAATTTAGATAGACAGCTAATGAGGGGTGGAGGGATTGAACAAAAAGGGAAAAGGACTCATGGACATGAACAACAATGGTGATCATGGGAGGGGTTATAAGGGGAATAAATGATAATGGAAAAATATAATAAAAATAGAAAAAAGAAATACTAAAGCAGATTTAAAAATGTTAAAAACAGTATGATCTCGTTTGTGTTTTTAAGGTTATATATGTATATATATGAATATATATGGAATAGTATAAATTGTACATGCATAATATCTTCTCAACATCAAGCAACAATGTAATAACAACTAACATTTATTGAATACTTATTGTGTACCAGTTCTGTTCTGAGCATTTTACATACTTTAATTCACCTAATACCCACAGTTACCCTAGGAGGTAGGTACTGTTATTTTCCCCATTTGAGAGATCAGAAAATCAAATCAAAGATGATAATTTCCTCAAGGTTATACAAACAGTCAAGTGAAGGGAAATAAATGTTACCTTTAGGGAATAAAATAAGAACTTAGAGATAACAGAAGAGTGATTTTTACTTTTTATTATATGCTCTTTATTGCTTTTTGAAATTTTTCCAATTTGCATGTATTATAATAATAAAAAATGTTTTCTTCAATTTCATGAACATCACAATTTATTCTTACTCTCTCACAGTTACACCCCCAGATTACCAGCCTCCTGGTTTTAAGGATGGTGATTGTGAAGGAGTGATATTTGAAGGGGAGCCTATGTATTTAAATGTGGGAGAAGTCCCAACACCCTTTCACACCTTCAAGGTAAAAGTGACCACTGAAAAAGAACGAATGGAAAATATTGATTCAACTATATTATTTCCAAAACAATTGAAAACACCACTTCAAAACATTCTCATGGAAAAAGATGATCTAGAAGATGAACAGGAGCATTCTGTAAGTACATTTAAAGAAACAAAGTACAGTAGTAAATATTTGTCTCAATGAGGACTTTTATAACTCTCGTTAATATTGTATAAATACTGTTTCAGAATCATAAACTCAAGTTTGGAAGAGACCTTAAAGAAAGTATAGTTTTATTTTAAAGGAGAAATGATAAAAATATACAACTTTCTTAAAATGTATGTTGGTTCTAAGAACCCCTGGACTTTATTGTCACTGGAGGGCACTGTATTAGACATGTTCACAAAATAAGCTGCGACTTTTATAGCTCTGGAATTTCCATACAGCTGTTAGCATACAGTCTGAATATACCCCAACCCAGTTTAAAACTTCAAAAAGTTTGCAAGCTTTTTATCTGTATGCAAACATCATTCTAAGAAATTTAAAAGTGCAGTTATTTTGAATGAAGCAAGGACTGGTTTTAGAGGCCCAGCCACTCACCACCTCCCCTCCCCTCATAGTGGACTTTGAGGAAACCCTTTGGTCTCTGGAGCACAGTTTGGAAACCACTGACCTACTCTAATCCCCTAATTAAATGCTGGAACTATTTTTACAACACCCTTATTAGCTCTGCTTGAATTTCTTCAGGGCATGGAAAGTCACTGTCCTGAAGCACTCTGGAGTTCCTAGAAGAAAGAAAAAGTGTCTTATTGTTGCCCTCCTGTACAGAGCACTTAGATTTACAGATGTGCATTCTCACTGGTTGAATGAATGGGTGAATATAAGTACAAAAAAGCTTTTGTTGTTGCCTCACTCCCAGAAAATCTTTCATCATTAACATGATCTTTAATCTTATCTTTGTTGTTTTCTCTTATTTGATTTTATTCTAAATTATGATCACATTGTTCTCATATAGAGACTGACTATTCTGATTTAGGCTTTGTGGCCACATTCTTACATACAGAAAATTTCATTTTCAACCCACATAGTCAAAGAAGAAATCTTTTTCCTAAAACCTAAACTCCAGTCTTGCTTTATAACAAATATGTATGGAATTTATGTAGCCTTACTTTAAAATATTTAAAGCTCTTTGAGATGTCACAAAGGGAATAATAATTATAAAGTAGACATAAAACCTGTTATTTCTACCATGACTAATCTTATCCTTAACTAACTCCCTGAAGAGTTTGGGATCATATTCAGAGTGTATGCTAACATCTGTGTGGAAATTTCAGAACTATAGAAGTGGCAGCTTGTTGTGTGAACCTGTTTAATTCAATGTCCTCAAACAATAGTAAGATCTAAGGGTTATGGTGGATCTAAGGGTCCATCATATATTTTGAGAAAGTTGTATATTTTTATCATTTGTCCTTAAAGCAATCCAGAAAAGTAAAGTAGTATTTTATACTTTATTGGAATAAATAAGTTGCCTTATAATAGTAATTACAGGACTGCTTTCTTTCTAGCCAGCTTTGGGTAGTTGTATATTTATGTTATATTTAACCTTCAAAGAAAAGAAATTTGTTCATCAATACATCTACCAAGTTGTTTTAGTTTCTTTTTGAAATGTGTTCATTTTTTTTCTTCACGTAATTATGTAGGATGGTTTTGACATTGAAATGAACATGGAACAGCAGAAAAAAACTCCTGGGTCTTCTGAACTTGGAGGTATGAAGTTAATGAAAATGTAGATTAATTTACTTCTAATTCAATTTTATACCATTTTAACTTTTTTGTTTTTTACAGAACCAAGTTTAGCTTATGAGGAAGATAAAATTAAGAGATCTAAAGAAAGTCCAGATCTTTCAACTTCTCGTTCTCAGGTATAAATTTGATAGTTCCATCTCACTTTTAACTTTTTTTTCAAAAGACTGTTGATTATATGTTTATTTAGTTATTACTCAGATTTCTTTATTCTAGGTCTTTTAGAAGAAAATTAGGTATTAAGAATGCTCATTAATAAAATCTGGATATGTTGAAAGTTTTAAGTATATTATTGGTGGGTTTAGCAATAAATGTAAATACTGTATATAGAATCTCAATATTTCAGAGACAGAAAGAATCTTAAGCAATTATTATCCAATACCCTTTGTATTTGCAAATGGAGTATATAATACATTTTTATTGCCTTGGAGCAGAACATTTTTTTTCTATTTACAGTAAAATCTAGAAGTAACATTTAGATAAAATGAACTTGAAAATGGTAATGATGAGTGTTCCCCTTTGCACAGCCCCTTCTCCACTGGGAGTGGGCTAAAGTTTTTCTCTTTTAGAAGAATAGCGTCCTGGTGGTGATCATTTGGGACTTTCTCAGCTAAGTGAATGGTCAGTTGTGTACAGTGTCACACTGAAGTGTCACTTGGTTTCATTACTTCAATAAACAAGACCCTAAATTTTATGTGATTGAATTTTTAAACCCCATTATTGTGATATGAGAAGCTTTTCTTATGTTCTGTGTAATTATTTTCTAGGTTGAGCAGTTAGTCAATAAAACATCTAAACTTGATATGTCTGAAAGCAAAACAAGAAGTGGAAAAATCTTTCAGAATAAAGTGGTAAGTGTCTTTAGATTTGTTTTCCATTCTAACCTCATAATTTCCCCACTATGTGAGTTTATTTTGCTTATGAACACTTTATTTATTGGACCAATATTTAGTAAGCACCCATTATGTGTCAGGTACTTTACTAGGTACTAGAAAATATAACCCATAGTTATAACATAGTTATGTTATATTTTATGTCATAAGTATAAATATAATATAAAACAAAAATAATACATAGTTCCTGTTCTTAGCTAAATGTTTAGTAGTTGGCAGTCACAAGCTGTGATAAAGGGATATATAGCAGTCTGAAGAGACTACATAGAGGCACAGAAGAAAGAATGGTTAATTTCATTGAAGGTACTTTAGAGAGGGACATCCAGGAAAGGCTTTGAGAAGTGACACCATTACCTAGATTCCCAAAGAAATGCCAAATGTTCCCATGTTCTATCTTATAAATGGATTATCTTGTTAATTAGACATTAAAAATGAATGTTTTGTATATATATTGTATAAAATGAATCTCATGTTCTTAAGTAAAAAAGCAGACACTACTTTATTTTATTTTTGGTATGAATTGTACTAAATAGAAATCTGTATTTTATTTTGGAGCTTTAAGTTATTCTAAAAAGTTCTGCAGTGAAGAAAAAGCATTCTGTAAAACATGCAAAATACTATATCCAAAAATAGGAAACAAACAGCACGCTCTTCCAGTGGTATTTGGGAACACTTCTTCTCAACTCCTCATTCAGTGACACGATGTTGGTAGCTTTAAATTGGATATGATGAGAATATTTACAGCATGGGTATCAGCAAATGCCTTAACTCAGGATTTGTTCTTCCCAGAGAACCAGTTGTTAAACATTTACCAGCACATCACTGATTATAGTGCCATTTTAGGTGTCCTTTCCCCACCCCCACATTCTTAATGGGAAGTTAGCACTGACAGAAAACAGCTTTCAAACTAGTATGCTAATGAAAGTAAGAAATAAAAGAATTTCAAAAATTAGTATCTCTAGCAGCAAAATGTTCTTCCTAGGCAGCTTCTATTTAGAATGAGTATCCTTTTTTATAATATATAGAGAAAAACCAGCATTAAAAGGCAAAATTTCCTATATAACTTTAGGATGCTTTGGGAGCATAAATTCACTTCTCTGCCAAAGTACTCCTGATTTTGAGAATCATGACTGAATTATGGTTAGGAAAGGGCAAGAGATGAAAATATTTAATAGTATATATACTAAGGAATTTATCACTGAAGAATACATTTTAAGTATCAGAAAATTAGTATGTCCTTTTAGAGAATAGTAGTATGATAGCTAATAAGTTGTCATCATTCAATATTCATTTTAAAACCGAATACATGGTATTCTTCACAGTAGGCAAAATGTGGATAAAACCTAAATGTTTATCAACAGACAAATGGATAAACAAAAATACAGATAGTAGAATATTATGCAGCTATAAAAAAGAATGAAGTATCAGTACATGCTACAACTTGGATGAACCTTGAAAACATAATGCTAAGTGAAAGAAGTCAGTCACAAAAGTCCACATATTATATGATTCCATTCACACGAAAATCTAGAATAGGGGTTTCTATAGAGACAGAAAGTTGTAGGGCTGGTTGGAGAGTGGGGGAAATAGATAATTGATAATTATAAGGATTTAGTGTTTCTATTTAGAGTGAGGAAAATATTATAAAATTGACTGCAGTGATGGTTGCATAACCCTGTGAATATACTTTAAAATCACTGAATTGTACACTTCAGTGATTTTAAAGTATAAAATTGTACATTTAAAAAAATAGGTGAATTTCATGGTATCTGAATTACATCTCAGTAAAGCTACTTTTTAAAAAACTTTATATAGTTACTTATGGTTAAAAATCAAGTGTTGGTCTTTGCAAAATAACCAATTAATAATTATTCTATCTTTTTGGAGGTTAATGGAAATCAACGAGTAAAATCTTCTAAAGAAAATCGGAAGAGAAGTCAACTTGAATCGGGGAAAAAAGTAAGTCTTATGATAATATATAAACCAAATAAAATGTCAAGTATCAGAGTATCATTATTATGGATTAAATTTAAGATGATAAATATAATATTCCTGCATATACCTGAGAGCTCTGATATCCAGATCTTTTAAAACGCTATATGGTTCTTAAAAATGGGGTGATTTTAAAATAAGATTCACTATGTTTATTAATTTTTCCATGTAAATATTTAATGTCTAATTCCATGAATGATTTGAAGTAGTTGGAGGAATTTATAAAATAAATAAAAACCAGTGTGAGGAAAATAAGAATAGAATGAAAAAATGAGAGTACAGGAATATTCCAGGCACTTTATTTATTATAGAACTAAAATTGGGCCACAAATCTGATCTGAGCTTTCTGGAAATCAAAAGTAAAGGTGCTCCCCACTTGTCCAGCCTGCTGATAGGGTAGTAGCTATCCTCCAGGGTCGGTCTGCCTCTGAGCTGCATCTTTGGAGGGATTGCAGGAGCCCACAGGTGAGGGCATCAAGTTGTCAGCAATTTCAAATGGTTTGTCCCCAAATTTTCTGGGCTCAGTGAGGCATGATTAGAGTCTTCAGAAGCACACATGTTTCCTAGCTGTGCAGCTTTGCGTTCAAGAACTACCAGTGCCTTAGCAGACACTTTATCCCGAAGATACGGCCTTTGGAGCTTCAACATTTCCACATCAATATGTATCTTCTAGATGGTTCTTCATCTGTATGCCTATTCTTCTTATACCCTGGAATCTACATAAAATGTTTGCCCAGGGCCTGACTCCCAGTATGATTATAACCAACCCAGTCATTACCAAGGTTTTCAGAGGGTGAAGCCATGGTATGAGCACATGTGCTCTCTTCCATAAGACATGAAAGCTCTATTTAAGAAAAAAAAACGTGCAATGAGCAAGTTTGACAGTAAGAAGGCTGATAGAACTATATCATCTGATATAAAATCAATAAAAGGCCACATGATATGCCCATTCATGCTGACACTAATTTGAAATCAGATAGTACCATAAATGAACGGACAGAAAACCTGGAATTATTGAAAAATGTAGACCTGCCTCCAAACTTGAGTTTGAATTTACCAGATTGGATTTTCCTAAACTGCAGGTTGCAGTGAACAATGAGATACTAGAGACACCAAAATAGCCCAAGTGTGGGCCTTTAATGCTCTGCCTCTACGAACACTTCTCTTGTGAGAGAAGTGGTAAAATCTGCTCCATTGTCAACAGAGGGTGAAACAGAGGTGAAAAATAATAATCTGACTTTGTAATTGATAATGCTGCTACCAATCCCTCTTCATGTACCAGAGAGTTATCCTGGATGCCAATGGGTTATGTTGTCCATCGGACTTTACCTGCATAACCATCACCAGCCCCTAGAAATGTTACTTCCGTGATAAACTTTGATGATGGTTGTTTTATCCTAAAAATGGTAGCATATCATCTTCTCAAGTTTTATCTTCACATCCTTCCTACAACAGAGAGAAACGCATTTTCCAGTCAACTAAAAAATCCAAAGCATCACAAGGTGGTGATCTTGAGCAAAATAAAGCCTCAAGGAAGAATAAAAAGAATAGTCTAAATTAAAATATAAAGTCCTGATAGTTCAAGACCACCAAGGATTGAAGATGCCAAGGAGTTTCCCAGTCTGGCATTTGCATCTGAAAGGAGAGTCAGACAGAGTAGGGTCATCAAAATTTCAATCTAAATAGAGCCACTGAATAATTTTAAAAGTAGTGGAAAAAAGAGCCAGATTCTAGCATGGTTGGCTTTGGGGGTAATGCTGACAGCACTGGAAAAGAAGAAGCACTTCTAGAGTGCAAAGTGGTCCTCCATACCAGCAGTGTTTTCCGTTGAGGCAGTTCCTGCACTCTCTAAAGAGGCTATGTTGGGGAAGAAGGGCCACCACTTCAGCCAGGTGAAGACCCCACATAACCCCTTAGACTCCAGTGCCCTCCTGATGAAGAAGGGGATGCAGAGGGAGGTCCCAGGGCCAAGAACCCAACCTCATTGAAGAAGATTATTTTAAAAGAACAGAAGGAGAGAAAGCAGCAGCGTCTCCCAGAAAGACTGTGAGCCCATTAAGTGATAATATGCAAGATGTAGAGAATGATGGTAATGACCTGGCTCTCGAGCAGACTCCCAGAGCAAACAGAGGCATCAGTGTCCTCCACTCCTGCTATAGAGAGCAAGCCAGAAGAGCCACTGAGAGCTGAGATCCATAAGGAGGCAGTGAACTGTTACCTGGTCCCCAAAGATGCCAGGTACCCCAAGATCCACAAATGGAGATTCAGGGATTACTGCACCTAGGTGCTCAGTGGAGGTTGACACCTGTGTTATGGATCTGCTGAAGAGCTGGTTTGTTTCCAAGACTGTATGTACCAGAAAGATCCTGTCAAGGCCAAGACCAAACACTGGCTTGTGCTAGGGCTGAGGGAGGTGCTCAGCACTTGAGGCTCAAAAAGTTGAAATTTGTTGTCAGCTTTCCCATCTGGGAGAAGATACAGTTAAAAGGTGGGTTGGATGACACCCAGCACACTGTCATTGATTACACCTGTGAATAGAACATTTCCTTTCATGTTTGCTGTCAACTGCAAAGCTCTGGGGAGCAGTTTGAACAAAGCCAGTCCTGTCAGTGTGGTGGGGATCTTCAGTTACGATGGGGACCAAGACAAGTTCCACAAGATGGTTGAGCTGACAATGGTGGTGAGAGAGGTTTACAAGACCATGGAGAATGTGTGTCCAGAGCTGGCAGAAGAGCAGGGTCCCGGGCCCCTGCAAAAGACTCCCTCCTTCCCCCACTGCTCTCAACACAGAACAACCATACCACATTGAAATAGGAGAAAACATCTGGAAGCATTAGTGTGCCCTGGAGCTAGAAGAATCGCTAGAGGCTTCAACCTCTCAGTTGAGGAACTTGAATTTATCAAAAGAATTCTTTTGCGTGTTTGTGTATTTGGGGTAAGGAGGGGAAGATTTGAACAACTTTGTGGTTCTTAGTTCTTCATTGACCTAATGTGTTTGTAATGCTGTCTAATTGGAACTTTGGCAGCATGTAGGGCAAGGAAGCAGCCTAAAACGGCAAGTACTATGAATGGGCACTGGGGCATGCTGATGGAAACTTTTCCTAAAAGCCCTCTGAGCACAATGTGAATCTGGAAATGCAAAAACACTGGAAAACGTGGTACTTCTAGTCCTCTGTTGCTGAGGAAAGGTTCTGTCCATTGCAGAAGAGCTAAGCCAAGTCAGTTTGTGGTGAACAGGAGGAATGTGGCTAATGTTCCCTAAGTTGTGGTGCCTCGGCCCAGCTCTGGAGAGCCAGCGTTAGAGAAGGAGGGCAGAAAGGGCTCCTTCTCAGGACATGGCCTTTCATCAGGAAGATCTGGGGATACTTGGAGGGCTTGCTTTAGGGAGCCTCAAAAGAAAAATCAGTTTTCCAACCTGTGACCTTTGAGATGAATTATTTATTTTAGTCTATTTTTCAAAGAAACAATGTATATTGAAATCCCTAAATTTATTTTGATAATCTACAAATCTTTCTTTTGTAAGTGAACATATTCTGAATGTCATTTCTGTCTCAGAGGCCAGGAGGCAAGAAGTTTACTTTTCTATTTTCCTGTAACTAAGAGGGCTTACTTATTTTGAATAGAGTGATTATTTAATTTTAAGTAGAAACAGATAAGTTACCAAATTCACAAATGCTATTAAAAATATAGCATTTCCGCCCTGGCTGGTGTGGCTCAGTGGATTGAGCGCCAAACTGTGAACCAAAGGGTTGCAGGTTCAATTCCCAGTCAGGGCACATGCCTGCTCTGCAGGTCAGGTCCCCAGCATGGGGTGTACAAGAGGCAATCACACACTGATGTTTCTCTCCCTCTCTTTAGAAGAAGAAAAAGTTAAAAAAAAATATATATATATATATATATATAGCATTTCCTCCTAGAACCTTAGGAGAAAAAAATCTTTCCTGACCTAAATCCTGGAACAGTTGTTTTTATTTGGAACCTTATTTTACTAAATGAGATAATGTATTTGTCATTTCTGAGATAAACGTTTGTACTTTTTCACCTAGGATTTTTATTAGTAGTAGTAGGTTAAAATTAAGCCACTGAAAACTCAAAACTATTTTTAAAAATCAAATGTTAAAGAGGTAATCTCAAAAACATTGTGGGTTAATACTATCATCAGTTTACAAATCTTAAGAAGGCAACGGAATGATCCAACATTTCACTAATATATTAGATTCCTTAATTTTTCCCAGTGTATTAAGCCTTGATATTTTTCTATAAAATCGTAATTCAGTTTGTATCCTTAGTAAGTTTCTTCCATAAGAATCAAAGTTCAATAACTCAGGGAATCTTATTAGGAATTTTCCTCGTTTGACCTCCCACTCTTTCAAAACTGTGCATTGAATGCCAGCTATATATTAGGTACTGCTAAGTACCAGGGATACAAAAACAAAACATGGCTTAAATCTTACATTGTGCCAAGGTAGAATGTTTCTCTATTTGCAGCTCATTTTAATATCTTTGTACCCTCTCATCCCCGCCACATATTTTACTATTTTGAGGGCATAATGTTAACTCTATCTACTCCTACTCCAACCCTAATGAAGACTTTATACTTTGCAAGTATATACTTTCAGCAGCCATCAGATGATTTAAATATGTCAGTAATAAAATTTACCCTATTTTTAAAGAACCCAGGTAACCTATCTTAGTAGGAAATAGGTATGCTAGCTATATTTTAAAAAGAAAAAAGAAACCTCAGAGACATGAAAATATCTAAAATGAAAGACATTTAAACTGGAAAATATCTATTCTTAATAGTTGTTTTCTTTTGATAGGTTCTTCATCACTTTGATTCTGCTAGTCAAGAGTCAGTGCCAAAAAGAAGAAAGTTTAGTGAACCAAAGGAACATATATAAACATTATTTATCTTCAGCATGTTTGCAAAGTTCATCTCAACATTAAAAGGGCACTATATTACTATTCTAAGGTGTGTTTACCCTACTTCTGAAAACTTACATGTAGTTTTGAGCAGCTAGTAAACTAAAATGATTATCATATTGTGATCTTTAATCTTACCTAAGACAAATCCAAGAGCACTTTTGAATAAAAACAAAAGTACCAGTGTCATAATAAGTTCTGTCCATTATCTACTCAATACTGATCTATCTTCTTCCATTTTGGTGGACACTTCCTTTAAACCTACATTAATTTTTAAGGCCCTCTAAAGCCATTTTTGAAACAAATAATGTTTATTTTGGTATTATATTTTGTAAGGAATTCATTTTTTACTTATGTTAAAACTATACCATTTAACTGGCTGTTTGCAATTGTGTTATTAAAACAGGTTTCTTTCAGTCCTTTGATATAGTATATTGAAATGATAATATATAATGTACAATTAAACATTGGTGCTTTACCTTTAAAATTTTTTTTTTACTACAAGATGAAATGATGACTAATTTTTAAAGTCTGGCATTTTGCAGAGCATAAATAAAATATTGTTCAGCATCTAGACTCTTTCATGACTTCCAATTTTTATATAATTAGCAAAAAGTGTTTGGGCACTAATTTTTTATTTTGTTTTTTTTAAATACATTTTTTTTTTCATTACCATTTAGTCCCCTATACTCCCCTCTCCCCAGGGCACTAATTTTGAGATCGTTTCAGTAGATGTTACTTTGTAAGAGTTGAGCACACTTCCTAGAACTTTGGAGAGGTAGTGTGAAAGATACTGTGCCTTTAGTGAGAAGCCTGAGACCTGATTCCAGCCTTGATCATTTCCTTTGCTTTAGAAAAGGAAAGGTCTGCTTGCCTCTTGCGGCATCAGCAGACATATTCTAAAAACATGCATTAGCCCCGGCTGGTGTGGCTTAGTGGACTGAGTGCCAGCCTGTGAACCAAAAGACCGCGGGTTCAATTCCCAGTCAGGGCACATGCTTGGGTTGCAGATGAGGTCCCCAGTTGGGGGACCCGAGAGGCAACCACACATTGATGTCTCTCTCCTCTTCCTCCCTCCCTTCCCTTCTCTCTAAAAATAAATAAATAAAATCTTTAAAAATAAATAAAAACATGCATTATACATGGATTTGCCAGTAACGAGTGCTAATAGAGTGCTAATAGAGAATGTTGGTATGCATTCCCTGGTAGAAATGTATCCATCCTGTTTAATGTAAATCAAGTGAACATCCACAAACTGACCCACATCAGGTGTTTTTGGAACAGAATATTTAGGAATAAGCCTAATTGTAAAAAACAATCAACTTTAAAATGTTTACTTATTATTAGCTTTATTTTATCCCAACACATCTCACCTAATTGTCCCAGTATATACTGCTATAGTAACACACCTACCACACTGAGACTGACCAACAGAAACCTCTGTAGATCGGCAGCTGGAGCTAGCTTACTGAATGCTTGGATTGGCCGATTTTCCGGAGTTGGGAAGCGCAGCCTTCTTTCCTCTCTTCTACCGAGGTTCCTCCATTGGATTGACCAGCTGTCAGGTTGAACCCAAACCTGCCTCCTTTTTGTGATGTTTGTCTGGATCGCAACACAATAGCTGGAGAGAGCCTCCCCTCATAAGCTCCAATTGGCTGGACCCAACCTTGGCGGTTTCTTATTGGTCCAATGAAGAAACGCCAAGGTAGGTTGCCTAGTGATCCCGAGGAAGCTGATGTGTTATTTCTTCTCTGCAGCGAAGGATCAGGAAGTTTGCGCTCTCTCCGTGACTGGGAAGTTTTTAACCTACTAGGACAGGGTTGGGGGGGCCAAGAGTGGAACACAGATGTTCTAAAGTAGAGCACAGGCTGCAGCCTCCATCCGGTCGTAACCTAGGAGTAACGTCAGGTAAGCAACCCGGGAAATACATTTCCTAACGTCCAAAAAAAAACCCAAACAATTTTTTTTTTAATTTTATGTGGAGAGGGGAGGTTTTTATTTATTTAATTTTGGGGACTTTTTTCAAAGAGGATTTTTAACTAGTAAATGTTCGGGGGAAATTCATTTCTCAAAGAAAATCCCTTTTACTCCCCCCCCCTCGAAAATTTAAAGTTTCTTGTAATGGTTTAGGAAATAAGCCCTATTCACAGTGCCAGATAGGGTTAGTGCCCTTAAGCATTTTATTTATTTCACGGTTCTCTTCGTCCTTCACTCTACTTTCCACCTCCCACCAAGAGTTATATTTGAGATATAGCCCTGTACAGACTTTTGTAAGCCACTTAATTTGCATTTATATTTTAAATGTTCACATGCATTTCTGAGTGTTCCTTTTAATCGGTGTATATTTATCAAGCAGTTACAACGTTAAAGGCATTGTGTTAGTTGCTACAGAGAATTAAAAAAACCCAAGAAGACAAAATCCCTGCCCTCAGGAAGTTTACAGTTGAGCGACAGCCATTTCAAAAGAAAGACTGTAGTAAATACTTTAAAGTAAGTAAGTATAAATAAAGTTTTGTGGAAGTACAGCTGAGGGAGAGACCAATTTCAGGACATGGGACATGGGTAATGGAAAATGCGATTCACTTAAGCCTTGGCAGTAGGTTCTCAATAGGCCTTTGAAGAATGGGTAGAATTTAAGGAGTAAGGGAAAAGAAAGAACTCCAGCATGTACAGAGGAGCAGAGGTGAAAGGCATGGGTCGCTTGAGAAATGGTTTGTTCACAGTACGTAATTGGAAGTAATGGGAAATAATCGTGAGAACATAGAACTGGATCCTGTCCCAGAGGTTCTTGAATGCATTCTGTTGATGTTGCAAAATATATTCTTTTAAATAATTGCTGATTAAAATATTTATTGTATATTAACTGGCATTTAGATTTATCTCAAAATAAACTAATGTAAAGTTTATCATAGAGATAGTGCAATTTCTCTTGATTTTTAAAACAACTGTAGTGCTTGGTATGAAAGGGCATGTGCTTTGCTTTTATTTTTTATTTTGTAATTGAGAAGGAATTTGCTAATCTTTTAACATTCTCTTGCTAGTATTTTTTGCTGTCAGCTGTTTTGTTTGTGAGATGGTTAGCCTAGAGATAGAGATAAAAGTTTTCTGGCTATGTGGAATTACTACACATGATGTTTTAAGCATTATACCCTAGACTAGTGATCTCTTGAATGCATGAACAGAGTCACTAGGGTTTGGGGAGAAAATATTAGAACATGTATTTCTATTTCATTTTTAAAATTTTTTACTTTATTTTATGTGTATGTTTTATAATGTACCACTGAATGTTTATAGAAGTTCTATATAAATTATTATATGTACTTTAGGGCTGGGTGCTCACAATTTGCTGTCCCATATTATTTAACTTCAGGAGGACCCACTTTGGGAAAGAGGAGTCACAATGATAGTCACTCCTGGGTTATAGATTATGTACAAGAAATCGACAGTTTTAAAAATGATCATTTCTACTGGTCTTTAAAATCACTGATTTGATTTCCTTTCAGTGTCTTCCGTGTATTTAAGGTATGTACTTTGGAAAGATACTGTGTTATGTAGGAGTATCTATGTGTGTTTATTTCCATAAGTACACATGTAGATATTTTTCATCATCCTTCCAGAAACAGTTCAGAATGACCACTTTAACTCACCGCACCCGTCGCATGGAAGTAGGCAAGAACTCTGAGAAGAAGGTAGAAAGTGAGGAAGACACTAATCAAGACAGGAGTCCAGACAGTGAAGACTCTGGGGATTCTAAGGATATCCGCCTCACCCTTATGGAAGAAGTATTGCTCCTAGGACTAAAAGATAAAGAGGTAATATAGTTGGGTTGGCTAGGCTGTCTTAAAGACTTAAATACTGGAATGTTTTTAGAAAGTAATAGAATATTTTCATTAATGTTAAGTTGGCCTTTGAATTATGCTGTAGCCATCTGAGGAGGGAATGGAGAGTTTTGAAAGGTGGCTGATATGTGGAGGGTAAAATCCAGTGTGATTACTTAAAGTGTAATTTAATTACAAAATTACTCCAAAATAAAGGATACAAGAGAGGGTATAACACAATGTAAAGTTTTTGTACTTAGAGTTTCCCAAGTGAGACTGATGCTGAAATAAATTCTTATGAATTAAGATGGAGGGAACACACATTGATGTCTTCTTGAGCTTTGGAGAGAAAGTCTTACATGATAAGATACAGAACATGTATGATTAGCTGTTTTGCAAAGATAAATGGTGGGTAGGTTTATTATGATATAAAGAAGTAACATTCTGTGGATCTTTAGAAGTGAAATATCAACATTTGGAGAGGATTATTTTAATTTTAAAAAATATTTTTAAATTAATTTCAACATTTTCTTTCTAAGTTTTCCCCTGTTGATAGAACATCTATAATAGAATTAGTCTTGAGATAGCAAGTCTTATGATATAACTTAATATTTTCTTAGCTTTTCTACTAGTTGTATACATTATCTTTCATTTCCAACTTTTTATTGTGTTTTCCTATTACTTTCTTCCCTCATAAAGAGGTTATAAAGCTATATAAATGTAATATTTCAAACAATGTACTTCCTTTTCAAGAAAGTCCTTAGTAAACACAAAAATAAGTAAAGGCATATTTATTACTGACCTCAGTTTTGAAAGCTTAATCAAATTAAAATGTTACTTTCTATTTTAAAAATACTCAGTTTTGCTTTGATAATTGACTTTAGCTAGAAATGAATTGCTAGAAAAGAGATACATCTAATATCTCTTCTTTTATACATTCTTGAACTTGGGAGTACTCTTGTTTCTTAGACTTTACATTTTATTTTTTTACCACTTTTCCCTTTTTTATTTTTTGTCATGTCAAACTACTAACTTGAACAAAACTTACAAGATTTGTTATAGCCTGAGTATTATTAAAACCAATATTAGAGCCCTGGCTGGTGTGGCGCAGTGGATTGAGCGCTGGCCTGCAAACTGAAAGGTCTCTAGTTCAATTCCCCACCAAGGCACATGCCTGGGTTGCAGGCCAGATCCCCAGTTGGGGGGGCATGTTAGAGGCACCCAGTTGATGTTTCCCTCATATATCAATGTTTCTCCCCCTCTCCCTTCCCCTCTGAAAATAAGTAAATAAAGTCTTCTAAAAAAGTATATCTCTAATAGAGATAAAAGTATATCTCTAATTACTTGCTCATTAAAAAAAAACCCTAATATTAGAGACATGCCCGTATATACGTGCCCAAGACATAGATATTATCAGAAGATCTTGCCTGGAAGTGTATTTTCCTCTTTGCTGAGAAAGATGATGAGACACTAGTTTTATAAAAGTCAAATAAATGAATAAGTGAAACTCTACAAAAAATGTCAGAGTAGGTCTGAAGATTAGGTGGTATAAATACTATTTTGAGATGTTTATACAGTGCCAATGAAACAGTCACTGACCGTAGAAGCAGAGCATATTAGAACTGAAAAGTTACTTCATTTCTTTTATTTTTGAATAGAAATTATGAATTTCCTGCTGATGCTAGATATTAGAATTTTTGTTTGTGTCCTTTAGAAAAACTGTCTTTGGACTTGTCTTTGTGTGTTTCTGTATTTATAATAGTTGATATAAACTTAAGGAAATAGAATAAAAAATAAAGATGCTTATTTAGAGGTATAATCATAGTGCATACTCAACATATTGGTGAGATAATGTACAAAGATGGACAGATAATAATTAATTACTTTTAATTGTTCTAATTTTATTTTTGAATATGCTAAATTACACTTTTAGTTTTCAGTTTTCTCAAGAAGAATAAGAAAGGTTAAATCCTCAAGTGTAAATAAATTGGAGAGTTTCAAATCTTTGGGTATGTTAAAGAAGTAGTAGTAGTAGTTTTTCCAAAATGTCACTTACATAATTATCTCTAAAAATGTTACATCCATTTCCAGCTCTATTTTCTTCTCATCTTCCAAAGTACTTATAGATTTATTTCATCAATATTCAGTGTGATTGGGTACCCATTATGTGCTTAACATTATGCAAATACTGAAGTAAATATAAAATAGAATAATATATGGTTCCTGTCCCCAAGAAATTTACATTCTAGCTTGGGACACAAGATATGCGTATTTCTTAAAAGTTAAATAGCCCAAAGGTTCGTTAGTGGAATGAATAAAAATGAATCGTCTATTTATTTAAATGACTATATTTTCAAAATGAAAATGAGTATTGTTACAAAACATGTGTAATTCTCATATAATGTTTGGTAAAGGAATCCAGACACAAAAAAATACATATTGTATGATTCTACATATATGAAATTCAAAAAGCCATACTATTTGGGGTTAGATGGTAAAACTATAGTGAAAAGCAGCAAAAGGACTACAGTAGTTGTTAGGGCAGTGCCTGCATTTTTGTGGGCAAGAGAGTAGAGGGGTGTTGGTGATTAGAAAAGAGAATAATGGGGTTTTCTAGGTACTATTTTCTGTTTCTGTACTTGTGGGAGCTTTCAGGATATTAACATAAAGGTAATTCATGTTTTGTATACTCTTCTGTGTGTGCATTATATTCCACAATTCAAAAGATTTTTAAATAAGTAAAAAACAGCATGTTGTTCCCATGTTAAAACAATGAGCCAAGGGAGTTGAAGGGAGGAAAGATCATCATGGGTTGGACTAATCTGGGGAGGAAAACAAGCAAATAAAACAAGATGGCTTTTAAGAATACATAGGTTTTTAAAAAAAAAAATGAGTGGGTAGGATTAAGAGACATGGAGAGAAGAGAATACAGTCTGGATGAGGAAACCTGAGTAAGCAAAGGTATCATGAACTTGATGAGTTTGGGAGATAACTGAGTAACCAGAATGACTGTGAATAGTTTGTGTTCTTGGAGAACAATGAGGATCAAATCAGCATATTAGATCAGAGTATGGAAGATTTTGAGTGCCAGGAAGATACATTCAGACTTTTTCCTTGAAGTAAAAGAGATTCAGCCGAATAAAACCAGCAAAGTTCATTTCATTTTTGTGTCCAAATTAAGGACTGAGTGATAGTTTTGCTCCATTGTATTTCTGAATATACGTGATATGCATATTATTTCTTGCTTACATGGTTTGAGTTTGAGACATGTCAAAGAAAAAGCCTAAATGTTAAACTTTCGTATCCCAAAGTCCCAAAGTTAAATGAACTTTTGCTGAATATTCCCATAAGAGTCTCTGTTTAGAACCCAATGCTATAATTTTAAAATATTATATGTTTCAAAAGCAAGTAAGTAGAAGGTAATACCAAGAGATTAATATTTGTAGGCCTAGAAAGGAATGAGAGTAGGACATATGGTCAGATTGCTTGTTGAGTATTACTGTCATCCCTTTCTTAAGATTCTTCTGAGGAGTAGCTGCCACAGACTGGTTTTAAACTATTAAGCTTCATTGTCTTGTAAAAATAATCAAGAAATTTAAATATATGTTGAATCTAACCTTTCAAGTACACTTAAAATTAGATGTTATCTCAGTTTAATAACATTGACCTCAACCAAGAGAAATTAAATTTGAGCTCCAGTCTGACCAAAACAAAATAGATTTATTTCCTGTTGAAATCAAGATCCTGTTTGTCATTATTGCCTCTGGTAGGAATTGTGCTATATATAGATAGCATTGGCTCGTGGACAATTAATGCTTTAATTAAATTGCTAGTATATTTAAAATTTCCCCCTTATGATGGTCTTTATTATTAAATTACTTGTAAGAGGAGCGAGGCTGTTAATGCTTTTGACTTGATGGTAATCTTTTGAGTTTATAGATAGTGTTTTTAAACACTCTTTCCTTTCTTGAAAAGCTTTCTCAAAGAGCCATCCCCACCTCTCTCACCGCCCCCCCAGCCTCCCCACCCTGCTGCCACAGATGAGAATAAGTCTACCAAGACCTGATCTCTTGGGGAGGAAAGGTGGCCAGTCTCTCAAGGGAGAAGGGCCTTGAGCATGTTCCTCAATGGGCTTTCATTGGGTTTAATTTGCGTAAGAACACAAGGCTTATACATAGGAATACAGGGCTTATACATAGGAATACAGGGCTTATATTTGGGCTTATGGCTGACTAGATCATCAATCACTGTCAGGCAGTAGTGATCAAAGGACAGATAACATTCAGAGAACTGTGAGGACTTATTCTGAGTCAGGGTCAGATACCAAAGGGCCATAAATCTGGAAAACAAACTCATTTTATGCTTGCACCCTTATCATTTAAACTGAAGGCATTCTTAACAAAGAAGGTTTCACAGGATTTTATGCATTCTTTCTTAGACCTGATTGCCTAGGAAACCACCTGTTCCAGCACAGGGCCACACCTGCCTCCAGCATTGTTTTAGGCTTAAGTCAGGTGGGGGAAGTAAGGCAGCCAAGAGATCAGGAGACTTCTTACAGATAGAATGAGGACTCAGGCTATGACAGAGCTGAGGGGTGAGGGTCCATCACCCCTTTTCTATAGTCCCCTAAGTCCTTCCCTGATGGCCCCTTGGCAACCATGCCTGTCTTAGGTTGCCCCTCCCTTGAGGAATCTTACCCATCTTTGGCTAACCAGTCATCCACCCAGGGCCAAGCAGGGTGAGGCAAAGGGGGCAGAGGCTGCCAGGAGGATAAGCTTTGTCTCCTTAGTGGCTTATGGTCCTGCAGTCTTTTTACTCAGCCTTAGCCCGGGGGTTACTGCTTCAGAAACCAGGCAGGACAGTTCCCAACATATTAGCAGTAGGAGATTGGAAATGCAAACTGATTTAAAGCTGGTAAAAATTTTTCCGCAAACCAATCAATAAATTTTTAAAAGTCATTCAGTAAGTTAGTGCACAACGTGTCAGTGAATGAC